TGCAGAATGGCATTCAATCTATTTTATTACAGATTTGAATTTAATACAAAATATCATAGACGTCTTCAATATCTTAATGCAGTATTTTATTCCAGTATTTTATTTATTTTTTATAAAAATTTATTTATTTATTAGAAAGAGAGAGGGCACATGTGAGCAGGGATAGGGACTGAAGGAGAGGGAGAGAGAGAGAGAGAATCTCCAGCAGACTCCCTGCTGAGCATGGAGCCGGACTAGATCTCACAACCTTGAGATCATGATCTGAGCTGAAATCAAGAGCCAGTCTTTTAACCAACTGAGCCATCCATGAGCCTCTATTCCAGTATTTTAAATGCACACACATACACACAAAAACACACTGCAGTAGTAACAAGTTGGTGCGTGGGCTGTCCTGAGAAATGGGTGCATATGAGAAGTTCATTGAATTAATTTTCTCCCCCAAAATTTCCTCTTTTGGGCACTACAGCGTTGGTAGTCACCAGTCACATGGAAAAAAAGAAAAAAAGCCTCTGCTTTTGCTTTTTAGAGCTCTCCTCAGGAATTTATAAATTTGTAAGGAGCAAAAATTTAAGGCATTCTGTTTGTTTTGGGTTTCTTTTTTTTAGATAGGGAAGAATCCACAAGTGCATATCATTTAAAAGTTTAATAAAATGGTACATTTTAATGATTATAGCATCTAGACTAGTCCAATCTGCGATTTGATTTATGGCTTAATGTGTTGTATTCATTTTGCCTTCCAAAAAAGGTTAAATTTGAAATTTTATTAAAAACTTCCTTCCTTTGAATTTATAGATTGGGGTAGCTGTTTTATCCACTTGCCGTGTAGAATTAGTATTTACTGGACAAGAAGTGTTGATTCAGGAGGTTGTCTGTGGAGTGCTTGCCCCGTGAGGGTCATATTAAACTCGAGAGAAGCTTTTTGAGCAACATAGCATCTTGGAGACAATATATCAAGCTGATAGATACACGGCTCTTCTGTTAAGAAACCAGGGATGAAATTATGGCTGGCTCCCAGTTATTGCTTTGGTGCTAAGGAGCCTCTAAGGAATAGGTCTAGGATAAAAGGGGTTAACCAGAGGGGAAAGAAAGGGTTCCAGAACTCAGTGTTACCAGAAGCATGGAAAATGAATAGTTTATATGTAAATAAGATGATCACTCTGGAAATATTTTGCAATTTTATATAATCAGTGTGACCAATTTAATGGGGCACTTTTTTTTGGTTATCACTCAGAACCCAAGGTACTGTATTATTATTATGGAGCCTACTTTGGGGCATGCCTCCATTCTTTCTTAATTGCATGATCATGCAGTTTTAAACATGTGAATGGATTTCTGTGTATATATTTATAACTCCAGTTTTTTTCATGTTGATGACTTATCAGAACTGATTTTTCTTCCAAATTTGGACTGTTGGTGATATGATATTCCTTGACACAGAAAAGTTAGACAAGAAAATAGTCAAATGAGGGGCATGACTTTATATGTTCTACACCATACACAATTTTGTCCTTTACTTTTTGCCCATGCCTTTTCGATATATGTCCATTTATTATGAATCAATTAAAAAACATAGAGCAAATAAGAAATAATCATTGTTAAAACTATATGTGTTCACAGATAAATGATCAATTAGCAAGTCTGTAGCAGTGGCTTATGGGATAAGTGGCCCTGGACAGAAATCCTACTGCATCCTGGGCATGTCACACTTCTACTAACTGAGGGAGCAATTTCATTCCATTTCATTTCTCTTCAAGCATCTGGTTCAGCCTCACACTTCGGTACTGAGCTGAAGCCTTGGCTTTTATTTTGCTCACTGAGAAAATGGAGACCATCAGAAGAGATCCTTGCTGTTTTTCTGTCATGAAATCTCCCTATCTCTCTGTATCAGCAGTCTCTGAATTCACTTCTGCACAATGGGTATACCATCTGTGCTCTGGTCAATAGCCAGCGTGCCCTGCTGGCTTGCTTCTCTCTGTCTCCCACACAAGGAATTGGCTCTGGCAGTTATTCTTCCTTCTGCTACATTATCATTTCCCCACATCTCTTCTGGATCTTTCCAATAGGTGTGCATACACTATAACATCTCCCAGTTTTTAGAACACCTTCCTTTAATACCAGAAGCTTCTCTAAATGCCGCCCCATTTTCTACTCTCCTTTAGAACAAAATCCTTCAAAAGAGTTGCCTGTGCTCACTATCCCCTATTCCTTTCCCACCGTCTCCAGTCACACTGCCGTGCCTGCCATGGTACTGCATCTTTTCTTGGCACCTGTCACCAAACACCTCCACTGGGCCAAATGCAAAATATAATTCTGTCTCTTTGCTTAAACTCTCAGTGTGTTGGACAGTTGATCAGTCCTTCCTTCTGGATATGCTTTCTTTACTTGACTTCCAGGCTGTACCGTCTCTAGGATTTTGTCCTCCCTCATGGACCACTCCTTTATACCTCATTTGTTGTAGAAGATTTGTCCTGACCTCAAAATGTTGGTGGACCTCATGGCATAGTTCACAGAAGTCTTCTGCACTCATTCCATCTACACTCACCCCTGGGTTATTTCATCAAGTCTCAGCCATTAAATACCACACACACCTTCATCCACAACTCCTATCCTGACTCATACTTGCAGCTTCTTCTTGGATGTCCCTCCTCTTCAATGTAACATGGTCAAAACAGAATTCCTGATCCCCCCCATAACTGATCTCTCCCCTCAGCATTCCTCAGCTCAGCAATGGCACCACCATTCACCTGGGAGGTTAGGTTCAACACACTGACAGCATCTTTAACTCCCTCATTTTCTCTTAGCAAAATACCCTCCAAACTCACTTGAACAGCAGAATATATCACCACCTCTGCTGCTGTCACTCCAATCCATGCTGTTGTCATCTTTTACCTGGATTGCTACAGTAGGTAATTTCCCTATGTCTACTCTTGCCCCCACTCCTCCATTAGCATAGTCTTTATAGGTTCCAAATTACACCATGTCCTTTATTAAAACCCTGCAATGACCCCCAAATCCATTTCAAATGGAATCCAGAGCCCTTAGTATATTTTCAAGGCCTAGAATTGGAAAGGATCTTGAGGGATCTAGAACCTGCCTGTCCCTCCAACCTCTTTTCCTTTCCTTCTCCATGGCCCACATCAGCCACATTGGCCTCTCCACTGTTCTTGAACACAGCTGATGCTTCCCCTTCTCACTGCCCTTGCACTTATTACCTCCCTGGCTGGATTGCTCTTCCTCTGGACACTCATGATCTCCTCTCTCATGCCATTGAGGTCTCTGCTCAAATGTCACCTAATAACATGTTCTTCCTTTGATCTTCCTGCCCAGTCTGAATTGTTACGTAATAATAAAATTGCACTCCTTTTCACTTTCTCCTCTCTCACCCTGATTTATTTTCCTCCTGAGCTTAGCTGTCTGGTAGGATCTTATGTACCCGCTGGCTTAATGCTTGCTCCCTCTGTTTACATCTGAGTTCCACAGGGTCAGAGGCCATGTCTGTTTTACTCGGTGCTGTTATCCCTCCACACAAAGAATACTACTTTGCACAGAGTAGAGGCTCAATAAATGTTTATTGAATAAATTAGTGGATTATTGATGAACTCAAAACCCTTACAACAGATTGATGAAACCTGTAATGTAATTTGTCCGTTCTCATCACTGGCCATTCATTAGCTTCATAGTTCACAGGCAGGTTCTCCTGTGGGGGAAAGTACGTAAAACACACACACTACATAAGGCTGTGTATGAAAAAAAGTTGAAAATGAAGTCTGAGAGTTGTTTTCATTATTTTGATCCCTTCTTCTTCTTCGTTAATGACCTCTAGTAGTCTTTGGCCATTAGAAACGTATATTACAATAATTAGAGTATTCCTAAAAACTGACATTATAGTAGCACTTAAATTCTGCTGAGGGAAGTTCAGATCAGTCCAACATAATAATAATAATAATAACAACAATTAATAATTACCAAGACCCAAAATAAGGTGCTTTATTTACATTGTCTCTGATCTTCACAACAATTCTCAAAGAAAACTATCCCCATTCTAAAGATAAGAAACATTAAGCTCAGAGCCATTAGGTAATTATCCTAAATTCACAGAGCTTTGCTTAATTTCTTTTGAGTTTCAGGCTAGCTTTGGAACAAATTTTAATATGATAGGTTCATTCAAGTTATACCTGCTGGAAAAATTAATTTAATAACCAGAGTCATCTTGTCATTTTTTTTAAGTAGAATAGGCTTTAGTTTCACTCACTCCTGTAAGACCTTATAGAACTATTCAAATAGAGTTCCCTGATAGATTATATCAAGTAGGCTAAATTCAGGAAAAATTGGCCAGACATTCAACTAAACTAGAAAAGGCAACATAGATGCTTCAACTGGCAACATATTTGAATAAGAGCAACTGACTGTATAAATCACACGAGGAAAGAACTTTAGTTTTTATATTTTCATAAGTGAGAATTAAGTCTGGAATGTACTATTTTCAGCTAATCATATATATTTATCATTGTAGAAAATACAATTGTAATAAACCATCCTCAAAAAAAAAAAGCCAGTTGTGTTCATGAGTAGCAGTGTGATTAAGTGGCAATGAGTGACATACATGGTAGAAATAAAAGATCTGGACTCCTTCACTGTTTGATTGCTTGATTGCTTAGCAAAGAGTTAAAATAAAAAGGTACTTTAATATTTGGTTCACTAAGTTCCCTACATATTTTTAATTAGATAAACAGAAGTACAGGTGGGAATGTGCTGCATATTCATTTGTCTTGGCATTTGGGGGCTGGCTTTTAAGATTGAAATACTAATGTAATTGTGTTGAGATGAACAATAAGGAAGTACAGTAGTTCAGGAATGAAAATGTTAAATTAAATGGACCATGTTTAACATTGTTGTTGATCCTGAGGAACAGTTTTTCCAGTATATGGAGCATTTCGATTCCATCCAGCATATGTTCTCCACAGTTTTCTCTGCTCTAATTCATCTGTGTTTTTCGACAGCTCCAGATGGCGTGCTGCCTCCGAGGCTTTCATCTGCCACTCCAACCAGTCTTCAGGTTGTCTGGTTTACACCAGCTCGCAACAACGCTCCCGGCTCTCCCAGATACCAACTCCAGATGAGGCCTGGCCACTCCACCCATGGATTTATAGAGTGAGCATCCTACTTTGTCCATCCTCTTCACTGTCGCCTAGATTATACAATGTGGACATAATTTACTTTGTCTTAATCTTTGAATAGGTCAGTTCTCATTTGCAACAAACAAAGGCCGCCTTTTAAATGTACAAATAAACAAAAGACAAGTAACACTCTAGGGGATAATTACTTGCTTTGCAAAAATCTCTATTTTTCATTTATATAACATTAATATTTTTCCCCCCTTAACTTTCCATGAGCATATGTATTGCATAAAGCAAGCACAAACCTGAACTGAAAAAAGAAAATGCTGTCTGAACTGTAGATACAAAATTATAATACTTAGTCTACTCCACGTGGCAATCAGTCTCAATAGTAGTCTAGAATTTTCTCAATACTACTAGAATTTACATTTCATATAAATGCAATAGTACAAACCCTCAACCAAATGGCTCATTATTTTAAGAGAGATCTCATATGACAACAGAAAATTACAGTACTTAACTGTATGTTGACATTCTCTGAAAATTCTTTGCAATAAGATTTTACTTGTTTTTTTAAAATTTCTTTGAATATCTAAAGCTTCCTAATGAACATTTCTTTCCTATGTAGGTTATTTTCCAATCCTTCTGCATCGTTAAGCTATGAAGTGAGAGATCTCCAACCATACACAGAATATGAGTTTCGGTTGGTTGCCTCCAATGGATTTGGCAGTGCACATAGTTCCTGGATTCTCTTCATGACCACAGAGGACAGTAAGTGGTCTGAACAATACACTGCCAAATGTTGTCTACCTTAGGGACGATTAAATGTCTTAAGTTTTTCCAAAACAGAGAAATAAGCATCCACTCTTTTCTTGACAGTTAGTGACAATAATCTCTTCTAGGGCAAGGGTAGTCAGACTCTCCCGAAAGAAGAAAAATGTAGGCTTGGGGGATTTCTAGGGTGAGGACTTCAGAAGAAAAATTACTACAGGAAGAAGTAATTTGCAATAAATTACAACATGGTCCCATTCTATCCTGCAGGATACATCTAGGTATCCTGCAAGAGGGAAGTTATCATGTTCCACTCAGTGTACTCTGCTTTGGAGGAATTCCAGCAGTCAGAAGAACATGGAATAGGAGTCTTACTTCATGAGGATGCTTACTATATCATTAAATGTTTTCCTGGAAACAGAGTCCATTATACTTTTAGTCACACCTGAAAGACAGACTTCAGAATAGAGAAATATAATCTGATAACAATGATTCTGCACTATTACAAAGAGTAGATTGGGATTGCCTTATTTTTTAATCAAGAGACTTTTCGAGTTTTTCATGAAGGAGTTATGTTTACATATATATGTCTTGACTAGGTTATACATAGAAAATAAATATATGATTGTAATACTTCGTTTTATACAAATTACTTCTATAAAAGCATATATATGGAAGTATAATTTTTTTTTTTAGAAAAGTTTGAAATTAAATCAAGCTCTATGGAGTGAATGAGGACACTGTATCTTTGAGCAATGAGGTTTTTAGGGTTAATCTTGTCAAGTCTTTTAATCAGAGGCTCCTTAGTGGATGTGGCTCAGTTGGCCAATTGCCATTCTGGCTCTATATCCAATGAGGACCTGAATGACTTTCAAAAGGCTAGATATTAATCAGAAGACATGGTATTTGAAACAATATCAATTATATATTAAATAGATTCTTTTATTTCTCTAATACCCTTAATTACATTATTTTAGTGAGGATAAGACATCAAATGAGATAGAATCAGAACTATTTACCTTCCTTAAAGCTTCCTTTATTTTTTAAAAAGGCCATTATGAACAATAATATATAATACTTCATTCTTCTCTCCCAATTTGTAATTACTCCCTGGGAGCAAGTTAGGTACTTTACAAGGGCACATCCAGTCCTTTTGGTCTCTTGGGTACCATTTAGTAAATTATCAGCACAGCGCAGTAAACGACACCCAAGACCCAGAAAGCATTAATGCACTACTCAATGCACCTACACCCCGTTTAGGGGGAACATCACACACACTTTGGGGAATCTAACAACATAGTCACCAACTGTATACAGATTTATGAACTGAAGAGCTCACCCTCAAAGTAGATTGTTAAAGAAACATTTTTTTAAAAGCAATGAAAATAGACTTTTAATTCTCCTTGGATATAGCTTGTTTGAAGGCACTCAGTAAAGGTTAACTAAAAATAATTATTCAGACCACCGCAGAGGTGGTGGCTCCTTAGAATGCCACCTTGAAAGAGGAGGGACATATATACTCCTTTTTTGGCCCCCCCGATTTCTATTCCCACAGAGAGAGGGCAACACCTGGATTTCCTCAATGGTGATTCTTCTTCACTAGAGGCCATGAACTTTTATCTATAGGCAGGAAGTTATCACATAAATAAAGTATAAAACATTGCAAAGTACCAGTTAGCATAGCATTCTTTGTTGAGCAAACTTCTCCTGCCTTATCTTACTACAAAACAAGTCTTGCAGACTCTATGTGGTTAGAATTTTCATGCACGCAGACGTTGCCTTCTTTGTGATTTGTAGGGCCTGGGTTTGAAGTGAATAATATTAACACTTCATCTTGTTTAAGAATTGGTAACACATGACCGTATAGCTGATATTGACCCAAGAAACCCAGCCATCATTTTTATGTAAATCCTTTCTGTGAAACCAATGACTTCTTTCTTCTTCTGCTTCATGTGCACACTGCAAAGTCATATACATTATGAAAGAGCCAAAGGCTGGCCATTTGCCCCCCTAGGTTAAGTCACCAGTGCTTGCTTACCCCTGAGACATAATGGCAGTGCACTCTATATTTTGGGTGTCAGTGGAGATGGATGCCATCTCTGGAACGATGTGCAATTGAGTTGACAAAGAGTGAGTGATTGGCATTGGGCACAAGCAGTTTTTTTCTGTCAGGGCTTCACAGCATTGCTTATGAAACCACCCATGATGACAGCTCCATGCCAGATTTGCACTTGATCCTGACCAGCACCGCCCATTTGCCCAAGTGCAATTTCTAATGTAAAAATTCTACATATCATCTTACAGAATAAAACAGAGAAGTCACCTCATGCCCACATTTAAATTTCATACCATCAATAGGCACCTTTCTGCATCAGCCAAAGCCTCTCGAAACTTCCTGGTGCCAAAAAAGGTCACCAAGAGCAATATTTTTAGTGTGATATAGTAAGACTGTGATTTTCGTCAAGCTTGTGACATGGCTGAAACCAGAAGGAGATACCTAGGCAGGAAATGAACTGTACACAGAGGAACAAATGCTCTGAGTGCAAAGAGAAGTTCTCATGGACAGAGAAAAGGGTTGTGAAGAATCTTAATAGATTTTTTTTCAAATAATTTGTCATTTATATCAGAGTGCCACCAATACCCAGTTCCATGCATTTTTAAAAATCTAGTGTGCTGATGCCAAATAATAATAATGCACATTTCCTATGAATATTTTAAATCCTGTTAAACGTGTGTTAATAAAAGATGTTTGTTCCAGCCAACTTGGTCAGTGTAGTGTTCGACTGTTTGCAACCAGATAAATACAAACAACTCATGGTTCTTGTTTTATGTGTGTGTGTGTGTGTTTGTGTGTGTGTGTGTGTGTGTATGTTTTGTTTGTTTTTGGTTTTTGGTTTTGGGATGCTGCTGGCAGTCATATCTGCAGTTTGCAAAAATACATTAAGATTGTGTTAGACTCGGATGCATATGATTGATAACATGAAGACACTTGCCAAAGCACTGAAATTTTTGGATATTTTTTAACCTGAAATAACCATCACTCCTGATTATATTATTGTTCCCTTTCTCTTGTGTGCTCACAATTGTTTTCTGTGCAGCATATGCATATAGAAATTGTAGTTGGCTGGAAGGGTAAGTTTCCTGTAACTTTAGCATGTGGACATGTACTTTGGCCTACTAAAATCCTGCCCTGTGGAAAATACGAGATAACCCACTTTTCTTTAAAAATGTGGATTCCCTAGACCACCAAAAGTCAGCTAATCTGTTTTTCTCAAAGTTTTTCAGGTAACAAGATTGAAATATGGAATATCTTTATTTCAGTCATTTTAACAACAAACATTTATGGTATACACAGGCAATTAGATGAACCTAATGAAAATGAGATTGTTTTCTAAAAATTACTTCTCTCCTTCCAAAACAAAACAAAAACTCAAATTGGTTCTGGAGTGGGCCATTGAGTTATATATTTTTAAAAGACTTTAAAAATTTGATCATTTTACTAAATTTGAAGTTAAAGACTCAACATTTGTATTTTTAACCACTAATCAAAGAGGCATTATTAAACAAAATCTGTGGGATTTGAACAGTTTATTCTGTAGATTTACTTAGGCAACTTTTCATGAGCTCATCATTTTGCTAACAGACTGATTGTGAGTTTTGCCTGGAGTATGCTAGAACAAAAGACTATGTATCCTATCACCTATACAGTGGAATTTTAGGTATTCTTTACATACTTTATATATTCATTATATTGGACCTTGTTGTTATTTTTCCCATACTTAAAAATTGCACCGTGAACAAGGGATGAAGCAATGAGGAATACTATTCTAGTATCTGGATCCTGCTTTACTTTTTCTGTCAGCATTTTTTAGTTTCCTCTCCCCAACCCCTCATTCATCTCTGAGATTCTCACAGCAGGTTACAAAGGAACAGAGGTTCTTCTGCAGTGAGACAGAGAGACATTGCAATGTTCGTGGACATCTGTATCTAACAGAACACATTTCTTCCTCATTTGTTGTCTGGCAAAATCTGCTCATTTATCAAGCCTCTGCTCAAATGTCACCTCCTCTGTGAAGCCTTCCCTCCTCCTTGCTACCGTAGAATTGTGATTTGTATTGTGCTCCATCAATAGCCGCTTCTGAACTGTAACTTCTCAGGACCTAAGTCTCTGTCTCATTTATCTTTGTACCAAAGCCTCCCCTTATCTGCCATTTTGCTTTCTTTTATTATGAGTTATGGCTGTTAATCTCTTACTGTGCTTAATTTATAAACTATCATAGGTATATATGTATAGGAAAAACATAGTATGTATAGGGCTCAATAATATCTACAGTTTCAGGCATCCACTGGGGGTCTTGAAATGTAATGTATCCCTGCAAATATGGGGGAATGACTGCATATTCAGTGCCTGGTGGAGGATCCGATATAGAGCAGGTGCCCAAAAATTGTGAGTTGAAGTATTGATTAAGAAGACTTTTGTATAAGCAAACCCATGAAAACTCAACCAAGCAAACCTTATCTGGGTACCTGTCCTGTCCCAGGGATTGAAAGAGACATCAAAATTACAAGGATGATGAAGACACTGTTCTTTCCTTGAGGCACCCATTATCTAGCGATGGGAACATAGAGTGAAACCATAGTTAGAGTATAGAGAACTAAGGCTTCTGTGAGAGCAAGCCCAGAGGCCGAGCATTTCCCTCAACATGGGATGTCAGGCAAGCCTTCCCTGAGGAGAAGACCAAGAGAAGGAATAGGGAATGATTTATATTTGGAGTTCACTTTAATATCACATTTCAAATTTATTTCCTCACAATTGGCCCAGAAGAGGGCAGAAGAAGCAATTGCTGTTGGGTTGTCTGCTGATGCAGGAGACCCGGGGGGTGGCTTGCAGGGAACACCCTTTCTGCCAGTGTTTTCAGCTTCTGTCTGAGATAAGGCAGGTGAGGATGAGAGACAAATGTGAGAAGGAAATCCCTAAAGCAGTCCTCATTCTCTGCGTT